CGCAGGTGTTGCAGTCTTTTAAGATAGAGGGTCAGCATTTGAGAAGCTGAAGGTGGAAACACTCCTTCCTGTAGGGATGTAGCTCCATTTTGGGTGGGCAATCACAGCCAGCTCCTGGGGCTCTGGCAAGCACTGCTTTGTCACAAATGGACGTTTTCAATCAGACTCTCACATGTCAGAGACAGATTGGAGGCCTCAAAAGAAGCTCAGGAGGCCTCTAGTCCTGCTTCCACCTCTGCAGCAGCCTCAGCTCTTCCTAAGTCTTGCTTGACAGACACTTGTCTAACCTGTCCTTGAAAACCTGCAGTGATGTAGGTTCTGCAATGTCCTAGGCAAGTGGTGTTTCTTCCTAGTAACTAACCCTTAATGCAGGTAAGACCATGCCTGGGCCTCAAAAGAAGCTCAGGAGGCCTCTAGTCCTGCTTCCACCTCTGCAGCAGCCTCAGCTCTTCCTAAGTCTTGCTTGACAGACACTTGTCTAACCTGTCCTTGAAAACCTGCAGTGATGTAGGTTCTGCAATGTCCTAGGCAAGCGTTGTTTCTTCCTAGTAGCCAACCCTTAACGCAGGTAAGACCATGCCTCTATCTTACACACCACAGGCAAAAGGAAAAAAAATGTTCTTCTCCTCTTTCTAGTGGTGTTTTACATATGTGAAGACCATACCACCTCAGTGCTCTTTACTTTAGGCTGCATTATACATTTCCTTCCATAATTTCACCTTATTACAAGAAACGGTGTCATTCCTTCTTTGTCCATTAAGGCAGGCACACTGACAGTGCCACCATCATCCCTACACTCTTCTGTGTAATGCTAGGGGAAAATTAGGAGCCTAAGAGCTCTGTTGAATTTAGAACATATCCTCTGCTCCATGCGAGGGGATATTTAGAGGTATGTTCCCCCAAAGTTCAGCTGTGTTATTCCCTGACATACCTGCTTTCTGATTTTGCATCTGCTGCACTTTTTCCCTAGAGTTCATTGAGCTGTTACCAACCACTATTCCTGTCAAGAACAGCATGTTATAAAACACACCGAATTTATGCCAGAAATCCATAAATTTGTCTGCTCACAGAGTAATAATCTCTCTTTTTTTTGAAAAACACAACACATGTAAGTGTTTTTCTAGGCCTTTCCATATTCTTTTCCATTTCAGAATGTGGTCCAACTCAGAAGGCCAGAGTGAGACACTCCTCCATCCCAAGGTCCCTCCAATCCCAACAGAAACAGAAGATGTGAGTATGAGCAGGGGCACACAAACAAGGATCTGTATGTAGAGCCAAGAAAGAAATCAGAGGCCTATTTATCTCACCCATTGGGCATTATCCTGAGGCAGGATCCCATTACAGTAAAGTGCCAGAGGCTACCACATGCCCTTTGTTTTGAAAGCATATAACAAACAGTTGTCCCTGCTTTGAGGCCCAGGTGTAGGTTTTCGGCTGTTGCTCTACAAATTCACATGTAAGAAAGTCTGCCATCACAAGTCAGTCTGGGATTTTCTTCCTGGGACCACAATTTATTACCACTGTTGGAGAAGATACTCAGAGGGAGAGGAAATGATTTATCCTAATTCACGTGTTCAACATCCAAATCTCCCACTGTCTGGGCTGCAAAACCACCCCTTCTCTCTTTTAGCTGGTTTATAAATCATTATTGTTTGGCTCTCCTCTCCATTTTTCCACATCTAATTGCCTGGCAAGATTACCAGAAGAAAGGCAAGCTGGTGTGTGTTTGTTGCAGACAGACGTGCTGTGGGGAAGAACACGGGAGGAACTGGAGAACTTGCTGATCACGCGACCCGTCGGCGGCTGGGAAGGGATGAGCATCCACTCTCTGGGGGAAATTATTTGGTCCTCCCTGGTTTTCCTGAGAAGTTACTACACGGAGGTAATCACCCTCTTACTACACACAAGGGATAAGGTGGTGGTAAATTTGGATTTCACACATTCCGTCCAAACTACTGTCAAATTGACTAAAGCTATAATTTGCCTTGGTCTTTGTTTTCAAGAGTTACTTCTAATACATTCAAGTTTTTTCACCGGTGCCAGCAAAAGCTGAATGGGTTTCATAGACACTTCCTTGAGGAGCAGCAATCTTTTCATTCATTCCCTGAAGAAACAAAAATGGGTGTCTTGTCAGGAGTTTCTTGTATTCTTTTTCCCAAAGGGATAAGGACTCATTATCATGGTTGCAGATTTGTCTGTGCCAGAAATAAGCCCTCTCCACAGGTGCTGGAGGTGACAACAGAAAGGAAGGGAAGGTGAAGAGCTTTGAGGAAATATAATTTCCTTAAAAAAAAGAATTAGAAGCATTTTGCAGGAAAGATGTAATTGATCTTATTTCAGCAGGAGATGTGTGAATGCTACCTCGTGCTGTTCTCCTTCCACTTGCTGATTCTTTCAGTGGACCGTAGAAAGAAGGCGTTTGTTTATGAGGTAAAGCACAAGGATCCTTTTGTGTCTCTCGTATTTATGTTCATATTCAATATTTCCTAAATATCTCTCTGCTCACAGCACAGGCAGATGAAATTCCATCTGGTTCATACAAAGTACTTTTCAACACCAGCCTTGGTCTGTTGGTGGAGCTCACCCCTAAATCTCAGAGTTAAATGAGGACAGTCATTTTATGAATAGGAAAACACGGATAACAGCCCTAGACACTTCCTTGAGGAGCAGCAATCTTTTCATTCATTCCCTGAAGAAACAAAAATGGGTGTCTTGTCAGGAGTTTCTTGTATTCTTTTTCCCAAAGGGATAAGGACTCATTATCATGGTTGCAGATTTGTCTGTGCCAGAAATAAGCCCTCTCCACAGGTGCTGGAGGTGACAACAGAAAGGAAGGGAAGGTGAAGAGCTTTGAGGAAATATAATTTCCTTAAAAAAAAGAATTAGAAGCATTTTGCAGGAAAGATGTAATTGATCTTATTTCAGCAGGAGATGTGTGAATGCTACCTCGTGCTGTTCTCCTTCCACTTGCTGATTCTTTCAGTGGACCGTAGAAAGAAGGCGTTTGTTTATGAGGTAAAGCACAAGGATCCTTTTGTGTCTCTCGTATTTATGTTCATATTCAATATTTCCTAAATATCTCTCTGCTCACAGCACAGGCAGATGAAATTCCATCTGGTTCATACAAAGTACTTTTCAACACCAGCCTTGGTCTGTTGGTGGAGCTCACCCCTAAATCTCAGAGTTAAATGAGGACAGTCATTTTATGAATAGGAAAACACGGATAACCGCCCCCCCATTTCCTACATCTTCAGCCACTGAGATGAGTGTCGTCCCACACAGACTTCCTTAAAGTCCAAGGTTCCAAGGATGGGAAATTTTTCAGCAGAAAAGCATTTTGCTGTACATCAGAGGGACCACAGTGGGACACAGAGAAGTTGTTGTTACCAACCAATTTCTAACTCCATTCCATTCCACACCAGGGTCTCCTTCCTCTTGCTGGGATGTGTCTGAGAGAGATCACGGGCGCAATCAACCACACATTGGAAATTTCTGGTAAGCACATTCTCCAGTCCCTGAAGGGCTTGTGACAGTCACAAAGCAATGATAGCCATGGTCTAGCCCTCAAGGCCTGGCCCACATGGCTGGAAGATGAGAGGGGCTGGGTGGCCATGTGGAGGACTGCTGAGGAAGGGACGTGCCTCCTCTCCAACACTCAGCCATGCTGGAGAACATGCCATGCCTTTCTGGACTGGACTCTCACATGCAGCATGTGCTGCTGTTACACAGAGGGGTGAGACATAGCTAGATGGAAGGAATTCAGAATCTCAGTTTTTAAAGGTAGACACAACTTAAACCAAGAATGCCTTAGGGTTAACTAGAATTCCTCACACAAAAGGCAACATATTTTACTTTACTGTGAGGGTGTTAACTAGAATTCCTCACACAAAAGGCAACGTATTTTACTTTGGTTCCCTTTGATGCAAGACATGTTTTGTCATCAAAGCACAGGTGGAACATAGAGATCATGAATGGCAGAGAGGAGGACAGCACACAGATTCACCCACCAGGCTCAAAGGCAGATCTTCAACATCCAAATCTCCCACTGTCTGGGCTGCAAAACAACCCCTTCTCTCTTTTAGCTGGTTTATAAATCATTATTGTTTGGCTCTCCTCTCCATTTTTCCACATCTAATTGCCTGGCAAGATTACCAGAAGAAAGGCAAGCTGGTGTGTGTTTGTTGCAGACAGACGTGCTGTGGGGAAGAACACGGGAGGAACTGGAGAACTTGCTGATCACGCGACCCGTCGGCGGCTGGGAAGGGATGAGCATCCACTCTCTGGGGGAAATCATTTGGTCCTCCCTGGTTTTCCTGAGAAGTTACTACACGGAGGTAATCACCCTCTTACTACACACAAGGGATAAGGTGGTGGTAAATTTGGATTTCACACATTCCGTCCAAACTACTGTCAAATTGACTAAAGCTATAATTTGCCTTGGTCTTTGTTTTCAAGAGTTACTTCTAATACATTCAAGTTTTTTCACCGGTGCCAGCAAAAGCTGAATGGGTTTCATAGACACTTCCTTGAGGAGCAGCAATCTTTTCATTCATTCCCTGAAGAAACAAAAATGGGTGTCTTGTCAGGAGTTTCTTGTATTCTTTTTCCCAAAGGGATAAGGACTCATTATCATGGTTGCAGATTTGTCTGTGCCAGAAATAAGCCCTCTCCACAGGTGCTGGAGGTGACAACAGAAAGGAAGGGAAGGTGAAGAGCTTTGAGGAAATATAATTTCCTTAAAAAAAAGAATTAGAAGCATTTTGCAGGAAAGATGTAATTGATCTTATTTCAGCAGGAGATGTGTGAATGCTACCTCGTGCTGTTCTCCTTCCACTTGCTGATTCTTTCAGTGGACCGTAGAAAGAAGGCGTTTGTTTATGAGGTAAAGCACAAGGATCCTTTTGTGTCTCTCGTATTTATGTTCATATTCAATATTTCCTAAATATCTCTCTGCTCACAGCACAGGCAGATGAAATTCCATCTGGTTCATACAAAGTACTTTTCAACACCAGCCTTGGTCTGTTGGTGGAGCTCACCCCTAAATCTCAGAGTACTTTATGAATGAGGACAGTCATTTTATGAATAGGAAAACACGGATAACAGCCCCCCCCCCATTTCCTACATCTTCAGCCACTGAGATGAGTGTCGTCCCACACAGACTTCCTTAAAGTCCAAGGTTCCAAGGATGGGAAATTTTTCAGCAGAAAAGCATTTTGCTGTACATCAGAGGGACCACAGTGGGACACAGAGAAGTTGTTGTTACCAACCAATTTCTAACTCCATTCCATTCCACACCAGGGTCTCCTTCCTCTTGCTGGGATGTGTCTGAGAGAGATCACGGGCGCAATCAACCACACATTGGAAATTTCTGGTAAGCACATTCTCCAGTTCCTGAAGGGCTTGTGACAGTCACAAAGCAGTGATACCCATACTCTAGCCCTCAAGGCCTGGCCCACATGGCTGGGTGGCCATGCAGAAGACTGCTGAGGAAGGGACGTGCCTCCTCTCCAACACTCAGCCATGCTGGAGAACATGCCATGCCTTTCTGGACTGGACTCTCACATGCAGCATGTGCTGCTGTTACACAGAGGGGTGAGACATAGCTAGATGGAAGGAATTCAAAATCTTAAAGGTAGACACAACTTAAACCAAGAATGCCTTAGGGTTAACTAGAATTCCTCACACAAAAGGCAACATATTTTACTTTACTGTGAGGGTGGTTGGTGAGAGCCTGGCCCAGGTTGCCCAGAGAAGCTGTGGCTGCCCCATCCCTGGAGGGGTTCAAGGCCAGGTTGGACAGGGCTTTGAGCAACCTGGTGTGGTGGGAGGTGTCCCTGCCCATGGAAGGAGGTCAGAACTAGATGGTCTTTAAGGTTTCTTCCAACCCAAACCATTCTACAACTCTATGAACATAAATTATAGGTTCCCTGGTGGGAGGTGTCCCTGCCCATGGAAGGAGGTCAGAACTAGATGGTCTTTAAGGTTCCTCCTAACCCAAACCATTCTACGATTCTATGAACATAAATTATAGATTCCCCTTGATGCAAGACATGTTTTGTCATCAAAGCACAGGTTTGATGAACATAGAGATCACGAATGGCAGAGAGGAGGGCAGCACACAGATTCACCCACCAGGCTCAAAGGCAGATCCCAAGTGTCCTTCCTCAGGCCCAGGGCTTCTCTGTTTCTTTGCACAGGGCCCATGATAGAATCCAGGCTCGTTTGCTGCCAGAATTCCGCCGACTTTGACATGTGGGTTCAACACCTCCAGCATCAAATCAAGATGGCAAACACTCACTGCCCAGTCAGTCCCAACAATAACATCTCTTTTCTGGTGAGTTGATGCAGAAGAGATGTAAAGAGAATGGAACAGACACAGTGGCAGCTTTGAAACCAGGCAGGGTTTTGCAGGGATTTTTAGAATGCAGGGTGGAAACGACCAGTGGTGTTACTGCTTTAGGATGTTGTTTTAGGCAAGTAAACTTCCTGCACACCAATTTGCAACTGCTCCTCTATGCTCATGAGAGATTTTAGAAAAATCACTGATCACTTTCGTTCTACTACAAATGTAGCAGTGGATATAGGGTTGTAACTACTACACTGGTAAAAAAAAATAAAATAATACGGGTTGTAACTACTACACTGGTAAAAAAAAAAATATATATATATAATTTCCTCTTAGTTACAGTCGCCAAGTAAAGAGTTTTCCATGCATGCTGTCACACAGGTGACACGCTGCAACACTCCCCAAGGTCACAAGATGGCAGGGTGACACCGCCATGGAGAACACCCACACAGCTGTGCTGGAGGGAACTCACAGACAGCAGCCCCTGAGTCCTCCAAAGCCTCTGCCCTCCTCATGGTACACTCACATCCCTAAAGGTCAAGAGCCAACTGGAAAGCCAGCTTGTCTTTCCCCCCTCCCTACTGTTATTTACTAGCAGTTCAGCTAAGTTTTCCCTGTTTTTAAACATCCACTCTCCTTGATGCCCAGGGTGGCAGAGGTGCTAGGGCAACACTCAGCTATGTCCAAGAGCACACTGGTCTTCAGGCTTGGGGGGAGAAACTACAACCCAGACCAGCATCCTCAAGAGCTGCTCATTTCTGATGTTCCCTACAGCTCCTATCATTGTTTGTAGCTTATGGATACAGGCTGATTTTACAGCAGTCAGCCCGGGTGGGCCTGCTCTAAGGATTCAATATAGATTGCAGAAACCCATCCAGGACTGAGACAACCCAGACCAGCATCCTCAAGAGCTGCTCATTTCTGATGTTCCCTACAGCTCCTATCTATGTTTGTAGCTTATGGATACAGGCTGATTTTACAGCAGTCAGCCCGGGTGGGCCTGCTCTAAGGATTCAATATAGATTGCAGAAACCCATCCAGGACTGAGCACAGCCCTGGGAGCCCACAGCGAACCCCACTCCCCTCTCAGCTGGACAGAACTGCTTCAAAGGAAAAGGAAAATATCCCCGAATAAAGGGATTTGAATATCAAGGCCAAAATGCTTTGAACTAAGATGAAATTTTAGTTCAGATCAAATCGGTGTCTCTAAACAACCTCTTCTGAGGGGCAGAAGGAAAATGAGAGCTTTCCCTTTCATAGCTAAAGCTGTTTGGTTGTCTCAGTTGCTGCTTGTGAAACCACAGCACACATGATTTTGTTCAAGTAGGTAGGAAACCTACCACAAACCAGGAACCTCATCACGGGTTTCGCAGTTCCCAAGCATATATCCTAAATACCTTTCTTTTACGACCCTATAACCCTGAAAAACATCATACTTGTAGTTTTATTTCCTTTTATTCTGTCTTAAAAAAAAAAAAAAAAGGTGCCGTGTGACGAACCGTGGAAGAAAAGAGAGTTGGTGAGACATCTGTGGTGTAACACCATCCTGAAGTGGGAAGGAAAACCTATTCAGCATCTGGGAAGGATGCAGTATTTGACCATGGTGCAAGTGGCTGGTGGCTGCACGGGGGTAATGTACAACGTTCACTGCTCTGACGTGGGTGGCCTTAAGAGGCTGGAAACAGTGAAAGTTTAGGCTCGCACAATACTGTCACTTAAAGAAAAGGGATGGAAAAATAAAAAAAGGCTAATTATGTCAAAGGCTCCCAGTATTAAAGAGACAAAAGGAAACGCAGATGTATTTCTGAAAGCTGCTTCTGACAATGTGTCCAAACAGTTGCACTCAGCTTCTGAGGGAGGGGAGCTGGGAGGGATTAATTCCCCCCTTTCCCATCACACAGCACCGTCAGCATTTTCTAAACACCTCCTTGCAGACGGGTGCCCGACCTATTCGAGAGAACCCTCAGCTCTTGGTGACACCCTTCAGCTTTCTAAGCAATCAATAGCCAACTCCAATGAGAACTACAAAGAGTTCTCCTCTGTGGCTGGCACTGGAGCAACTGGGTGCTGCAGAGAGCTCCCAGCTCTGCTGTATTGTCATTAAACAACGTTGACTGAGACAGACCCACTGAGAGGACATTACTCAACATTTTGGCTGTCTCCAAGATGCCTCTTTTCCACAGGAGTCCGAGGAAAGGCTGCTGATCCTGTTCCCAGAAGATCTGCTTTTCCTCTCTGTGGATAAGGACAGAACTGCCATCACATACAAGGTAACAGAAGAAACACTGCAAATGGGCAAGTAAGTGAAGACTAAAAGGAGCTGGAGTTAGTGAGCAGCACTGGGGGATGAAAACATCTGAATAGCAAGGAGAAAAGGGAGAAGCCGAAGGAAAAGCACCCTTTTTTTTTCTCTTTGAAGGGAAAACTCCCCCTAACTGGAATCCAGGCAAAGGAGAAATCCGCTGCGCTGGGGAGGTTACAGTTTGAAATTACAGGTATGTAACTAGAAAAGAGAGATGAGAGCAACAAAACACAGGAGGTTCTGTCAGAACACTGGGAAACACTGTTTTACTGTGAGGGTGACAGAGCCCTGGGACAGGGTGCTCAGAGGCTGAGAAGTCTCCAGCCTCAGAGATAGTCAGAAGCTGTCTGGAGATGGTGCTGGGCAATAGGCTCTGGGTGGCCTTGCCTGAGCAGGAGGGTTGGAGCAGGTGACCTCCAGAGGTCCAGCCTCAACCATTCTAATGAGAAACCAGCAATACTGGTGTCAGGCATGCCTTGAGGAGCATTATTCTTGTGAAGTTGACTTCCCATGAGGGACTGTTCCTGTGAATTTCCTTGCCATGGGCTAATTAACTGTGTGTCATGGCAAACTTTGCACACCTTTCCATCACCAAACTGTTCCCTGTTAATGTCTTGCAGGAAGCCTGACAGAACCAATTCTTATCACCTGTTCCACAGCAGAGGACTATGAAAAATGCCTCTTCTACTTACAGAAGGTATTTTTCAGGGAATTTTACTTTTCAAGCCTGGGATCACCCAGCCATAGATTCATCTAAGATGTATCAACCACCCAACTTTCTTCTCCTTTTGCACAAAAGATTCACCCAAGTAAGGAGTTGTCTTCAAGCCTTTCTTTCTTCTGATAAGACTCATCCATTTGGCCAGTAAAGTATCAGTGGGTATTTAAAAAAAGAAAAACACTCTGTCAGCAGGGATTGAATTTGGGTCCTCTTGGGCAAAACACCCACCTACTCTAGGAGTGACAGACTGATACCTAAGCACTCAAATTGCACTGATTTCAATGTAAATTACCTACAGAACTACCTAGGGGAGCAGGCAGGCCATCAGACTCTATCTCATGAAGCTAGAGAGACACATTATGTCACACCACCTCCTAAAATACACATGACTACACCACCAGCTTAGGACCTGGTTCCCTGCAAATTATACCCAGGTAAACAGGAGTTATTTCCAAGTAGGTCCTTCAAAAACTCTAGTTTTCAGAGTTAATCATTTTTTGTTGGCAAGCACATAAAGCACACCCTACACAGATAACCCTATATGGGCCCATAGAAGAGACAGGTGAATCAGGAGGGGATATTTTAAAAGCAGAAGAGATGTTGGGCTCTGAATATTTATTCATCAATATGGTTATTTCATAGTCAAGCATGGCTAGGTTTGTCTAGTGTGTAAATTCTTGGCAGAGTTAGGATATTCACATGCTGAAAATATCTTCCAGCCAGAGAAAACCCTTGATCCTCAGCCTCTCCAGCCACCACCAGTCCTCCCTAAGAAATCCTGGCAGCATCAGCAGGACAAGGAAAGGTGTGCTGAATACCAACCCAACAGAAAGGGAAGAAGCTGCAAGAATGAGTGAGAACAGACTGGAAATGGGAAACCAAGCTTCTTTCAGACTGAGAGGTCAATAAGAGTCCACACATGAACTGTTCCCCACTGGCCACCATTGTGAATGCACACCACTGCACTCCATGGTGGATCTCGTGATTCTGACCTCAAGTTGTACATATGACTCAAGGAGAAACCTTTCTCCATTTTCTTCCTGTATTTATTGCCTGATTCTTATCAGAAAAAGAACCATTGTAAAATACTGTGTAAGTACTACAAATAAACCCCATTTACCTGAGCTTAAGCCACGCGTTGAAAGCAGCATTCAGGTGATGGTTGGCTTGGAGAGCCACTGCCTTCCTCCAGAACAGCAGGCACAGGGCAACTCTTGATGGTGAACACTCCCTTCCCCACAGCTTCTCTTCCCTGCCCAAATCAAAAAGAAATGTTAATCCTGGAAACTTTCACAAACCACAAATTGTTTCCCCAAATACTCATTGCTGTCCACTACCCTCCAAAAAGCACAACCCAAGAACCTCCAGGTTGAAACAAATCCTTTTGATTCCAATTCCAAATTGGAATACAAATTTGAATCCAAATCCAACTGTAGATCCAGAAGAACTTTTTTTATTCAACTTTTGGAGAAAGTGAATGAAAACAAAGATAACTCCTCTCCTCTTCTAGGTGCCACTTCCCTGCCCTGAAAATTTGCCAGCATACCTTTTTTCATTTTAGAAGCCCAAATTCAGGAATACAGATGCAGATTAGAAGCGTGAAATGCTAAGAGGTATCACTGGATCTGGCACCAGGAAAATACTATACATTACTCAGAGAAAAGCTGCTAAATTTGGTTGTAACTCCAGAGCTGGGTCAGCCCCTTTTCTTGGTGCAGGCAAGGGAGCCTCAGGCACAGCTAAGCGATGGCAACTTCTAAGAAATCCCAAAGCATCCTTTGTTAGTAACTTCTTCAAATTTGCCATGTCCTTACCTCCTGGGTCGATTCAAGTCAGGGACAGGACTTGCCAAGTCAGGGACAGCATCAGGATGGCTGGTGAGGGCAAACACACCCCAGGCTGGTATCACAAAATACAGCTCTCGGAAAGACTCCCCCCCCCAAACAGCAACAAGCCTTTACTCATCACTGCCAACTCCAGAGCTTTTTTAAAATTAGATTCCTCAGCTGATAGGGCAACTCAAAGACAAGTTTAAGATAAGTGTTGGACAACTCCTAGTAAAACAAGGACTAAGTGCTCCCAACTGTCCCATGAAAAATTGCTTTTTTTTCCCATAATCATGCAATATACCTTCTAAGCTTCACATAGTTTAAGACTCATTATGTCCTCACTTAAGCCATAATTAGGTGTCGTCGTTTTGGAGCCTGCATATTGGCCTTTTTGTTAGCACTGTAGAGGAACTTTTTCTGGTTTTTTTTTTAAGATATCACATTTTAACTATTTGCTCATGACAATAACACTAATGAAAAAATATCTTTCTAAATTACCTCGATCATTTAGCCTCTAGAAACTTTGGGATGTTTTTCAGGGATATTTTGTATTCTCTTTTCAAAAGAGATTCAAGCAAAAAAAAAAAAAATATTGTTACAGACATGCCATGGGTGTAAATGATTTGAGGGAGAAGCCTTTTTTAATGCATAGTCTATATACAGAGATCAACCTGAAGTTCAAATTAGAACTTGAAAAACCTCATAAATTCTGGGATTTGAGCTGAAAATTCAGCCATGATCTGATTTAAATATTGCAGTAATTGCACACTGATAAAATAAAGCTATTGTTCTCTTTGAATGGAAACTTAAATGCAGTGTTTTCTTACAAGCTCACTGTTCTGAGCCAATGGCTTTCATTTCCTTTGATGCAAAGAACAGCTCTTCTACTGAAATTCTCCAGGACTTAAATGATTCACACTTTGGGTTTTTCCCTCTGAATTGGAGCTTTAAGAAGTCAGGAAATTGGTTGCTTTTCCCATCAAGAAGCAGCCAGTAAAGTCAGCCAGTTAGGTAAGCAGGAAGTGGAACTCTTCTTCAAGGTAGGCATATAGAAACCCAAAGGCCACTGTGCAAATTTCCAGTGAATAATAGGGCTCTGTTCACCGTGTTTCAGTATTAACTGGCAGAAGTGTTGGCTCTTCAACACCCACAGCCCAGAGAGTCTTGTACATCTCACTGCCATGTGCCTCTGGCAACACGCGGCAAAAGGAGCTCCAACAGACATTCAAATCTTTCATTCCTCAAATAGGACGCTCTGATGCAATTTTTTTTTTTTTTTTTTTTGGCCCAAAACGTTGCTGCTTCTCTGCCATTGTCAGGGATGGAAAAAATTGTCAGCCACAGTTTCCTGCTATTTTGGTAGCGGGTAGCTGAAAAGCTGGTTTAGCCAGGAAACGTTAAGCCACTTGCTTAAAAGGGGGGAAAAGTGCAAGTGCACCCATCTAAAAGTCAGGGACAGAAGAATTTGGCTGGGGGTACATTGCTGAAATAACCAGAGCTCTGTAAGAGAGGGGAAGTGAATCGGGGAAGTAAAACTAAGAACACTGGGACAACCTATAGAATAAACCCCTTCCTTTCCAATTTGCTTAATTATAGCACATAGGCACTTCAATCAATTGTCACATTTATTTTACCTTTACAAAAGGTTATAGTCAGAAATCGTGTTGAAGACATTAAAAAAACAAGAAGGGTCAATAGAGAGCCGAGACGAGTCAGAAATCGTGTTGAAGACATTAAAAAACCAAGAAGGGTCAATACAGAGCGAGACTAAACATGGCCAACAAAGAATGAACAGTAAGAAGTGTCTTTACGAGTCAGTGTTTAGACTTGTGAGTGTATTAAATGCCACAGAGAAACTGCTTACAAGACTGAGACAGTCTTACACTTTAAAAAAAGTGACCCTGTTTAATCCAGTCCAATGCTTTTTCCAGTTCATCTCAATTAAGAATCTGCACATTTCTCAAAGCAATGGAGGAAAACCTCACTCTAAGTGAATTTCACTTAGAAAAATTATCCGTAACACAAGAATTAACAGTAAGAGGATCGAAGGCAGCAAAAGTACATTGAAAGTACTAATTATGTCTCACAACATCCTTTTAGGGTTAAGAAGTACCACTGCTCCCATTCTGCATGAAGGGGAAGATAAGGTATAGGGATGTCAGTTGGAAGAAACACAGTAACAGAGAAGCTTGAAGACTAAAACTAGGACTGTGGAGGAATACATTACAGTGAATTAGGAATTCTAGTGAATAAGGATAACCCTTTGCACTTCATTTCCCCTTACAATTACTACACCCAGTTACAAGATTCTACGATGCACAAAAATAATAAAAATGCAAAAAGCAAAAAAGACAGGATAACTCCTCTTGACATAATCACTGAAGAAATGTTCAGCAATAAAACCATGTCCACATATCAGAAAATTGACCCTTCAGCTTTAATTCAAGACCTCTTCCAGAGAAGGCTTTGAGAAAGACCAGCTGGAAAGAGCTTAGGGAGACTGAGAGGTCTACAAACCTCAGCCTGCGAAGTAGTATAGGAGCCTAAAGGAACCAAGGATAGATCCATCATAATGGATAATAGAAATTTTAACTAACTATTCTCTCTCCTTCTCTGACATGAAATCAGTCACTGGACTGGATTCACTAGAGAGGTCATGGGGTCACCTCAATGAAGTCTAACAGGGAGATTGTTTTCCAGTCTCTCCAAGACTGCCTGAGAGCACAGAGGGCTTCTGACCAAGGGAATAACCCGTCCCACTTCTTCAGATTCTCTGTTCAACTGCTTTTGCAACACACATCTGCAGGGGCAATAACTTCTGCTCTGCAGCTTCTGTAATTTCGCAGAGCCCTACTTAAAACAGCACGTCATTCAGACTTGGAATAATCCCCTCTGAGCATTTAGTAAGGTGATTAACAGAAATTTCACTTTTCTGTTAGGATTTAATTTAGAAGCCCTGTCCATCTTAGGTTATCTCTAAGAAATCATGAGGAAGCTGACATAATGGTTGTACTGTCTGATATTTATAACCTTTCATGTGAAGGCAGAGTCAAACCTCATTTTTGCCCAGGGCTGATTCGGTCATAAAAGAGTCTACTCTGAGCAGCTTTCACCAGAAGGCCAAACCAGAAGGCATCCAGAGCTTTGAATCTGTTAGTGCAGTCACCACAAAAATATTTATATCTAAAAATGAAAAAAAGCATCAAGAACAAATGTTGGGCTTTTCTGTTTTCCACTGTCTTTTCCTTCTCTATAAACTAGGTGAATGTTGTTCTCCAGACATTGGGATCCTCATTTGAGCCTTTCAGAAGTCTCTATTCTGTTAGGATTTAATTTAGAAGCCCTGTCCATCTTAGGTTATCTCTAAGAAATCATGAGGAAGCTGACATTATGGTTGTACTGTCTGATATTTATAACCTTTCATGTGAAGGCAGAGTCAAACCTCATTTTTGCCCAGGGCTGATTCGGTCATAAAAGAGTCTACTCTGAGCAGCTTTCACCAGAAGGCCAAACCAGAAGGCATCCAGAGCTTTGAATCTGTTAGTGCAGTCACCACAAAAATATTTATATCTAAAAATGAAAAAAAGCATCAAGAACAAATGTTGGGCTTTTCTGTTTTCCACTGTCTTTTCCTTCTCTATAAACTAGGTGAATGTTGTTCTCCAGACATTGGGATCCTCATTTGAGCCTTTCAGAAGTCTCCCTTTTGTAATCCAACATCCCAGGTACCAGGATTGCTGAGTTATAGAAGAGGAGGATAAATGTTACTCCCTTCTCCCCTTTAGTTTCCTTGGAGGGATGAGGGAGTCACAGAACATGCACAGGAAAACCTTTGGAAGCAGAAATGGTGTGGCCATGGCAGTCTCACACTGGCACCTCTGTGCACGGAGACGGGCTGAACCACCACCTTCTGTTGGGGCTGGAGAGGAGAGGATTTCATGGGAACATCACAGAGACACGTGCAGAAGATGCAGAAGGGAATAATGACAAGAAGGGTCCCTGGTCCCAAAGAAAGTTGAAGAGAGCATCAATGAAAAACAAACAAACAAAGAAACAACAAACCAGGAAACTTGGAAGAACAGAATGCAGCTGAACAGAAAGTCAGCCTGACTTAGCAGGTTGGTCTGTTTCTAAATGCGAGGTTTGTTGAGAAGAAACAAAGCGAAACTCCCTCCAAAGGCATTCCTTACTGCTATCTACAGAACGATGCTTTATGCACCCAGCCCCTCCTTTCTTTTTGTCTTGAAAAGCTGAGCTCAGCTCCCAGTTCTCACAGCACATTGCAATTGGTCTGTTTTCGTTATGGACTCTGAGGGTGGAAAAAGCAAGACTTTTCTTCTGGTGTTTTGTCTCCATGTTCTTCTTCTGGAAACTGACAGCTGTAAGTCTCTTCTCTCTGGTGTGACAGCTGTGGAGCCCCCGACAGCCTAAGGAGGTTATGTTCCAGATCTGCAGTAAGAATAAGCAAAAGCACCACACATACAAGAGATCTTCACACGTATCCATCAGCTGTCCCTGACCTTTATCAACACAGCCTCTCGATGAGGAAAAGGGCAAAGATACAGGTGATGCACTGCATCTTAATGAAAATAAGAAACCCGCCCAAAATCGCAGAGTAAATCCAAATTTACTCTATTTATTCAACTTAATTTATTCCATTCTGACTCTGGATCAATGGAGACATGGTTCCCCACTGAAAGATTCTGGAGCAAGTCCAGAGAAGGCCAATGAAGCTGGTGAGGGGTCCAGAGATCGAGTCTTATGAGAAGCAGTGAGGGAGCTGAGGCCGTTCAGCCTGGAGACAAGGAGGCTGAGGGGAGACCTTCTTGCTCTCTGCAGCTCCCTGAGAGTGTAGTGAGGGGGAAAGTCGGTCTCTTCTCCCAAGTAACAAGCAATAAGACAAGAGGAAATGGCCTCAAGTTGCACCAGGGGAGGTTCAGATTGGATATTAGGAAAAATTTCTTCACTGAAAGGGTTATCAAGCACCGGAAGAGGCTGCCCAGGGAAGTGGTGGAATCGCCACCCCTGGAAGTATTTAAAAGCCAGGCAGATGTGGTGCTGAGGGACATGGGTTAGTGGTGCTTTGGGCAGTGTTAAGTTAGCGGTTGGACCCGACGATCTGAAAGGCCCCTTCCAACCTCAACGATTCCATGATTCTATAGAAGTCCATAGAGGTGCACTTACCATCAGCTGTGTAGTATTTTTCCTTCTTCAGAGACCATATGCAGAAATGCAAGAAGAAGGTCAGCAAGATGAGAACAAATACAGCTACTGCGGTAAGGATAGCCAGGATGGTGGTGTATAGAGTGTCCTTTGGAATGGGAACTGCAATTAAATACATTTTAATAAAGATTAGGAAATCATGTGTCCAGATTATCATTAAGGTACTCTGTACCTGCAAAGCCTGTACCCATTTATTCCTATTTAATTTGATCCATGAGAAGACATGAGATTTCAGTCCTGGGTGTTGTGGACTCAGCCAAAGGAACAGTATAACTAAGTGAGCAATTCTAGTATAACTAACAGTATAACTAATTAAGCAATTCTTTCTTCCTAAGAAAATGTAGCAAAACATCAATAGCAGTTCAATGGAAGACTCTGACAATTTGTCAAATAGGTGTGCTCTACTTAAGGACAATTGTTGGGTTTTCCTCTATTACTGACAGTGCTTTAATGGTGGAATCTTTGCCCAGGTCAACAATTCTACTTATATTAATATTACAAGAAACACAACAGTAATTTTCAAAGCAAATTTTCAAAATAGCAAACTCTGGATGATAATAATGCAGCAAGTCACCAAATAAAGAAGCGCAGAGAAAAATTATAGGCTCAAAGAAACAAATGATTGTGAGACGGTACCTTGCTCTGAACCTTTAGAAGCGACACCACATAATGTATTATGTGTACTGTTGCCTTGCTTGATTGTTAGAAACCCAGAACTTTCACAACTAAAAGAAGAAGAAGAAGAAGAGTCACATTTAGAACATCCCTGCCTTTCCCTCCCCCCTTCCCTTCCTTCCCTCCACTCTTTCCACAGTCATTTCCTTGTTTTCCTTTCTATAGCAGTGCAGGTAAAGTTATGGCTGTTCCCCCACAAGTTAACACAATGCAATTGTTTAAGTGCCCTTTTTTTTTAGTTTCAAGTGATGTCCATGTTTGGAATAATTTTGCATCAGTTCAAGCTTGACTTGGAAGCAAGTTGAATCCACAGCAGTTTGTATTAAGTTCTACTTTGAGACCGACTATTTATAAAGCCAAAGGAGAGTGAAATATCATATTGCTGAATTTAAAAGACTCATCACTTAATCTGATTGGTGATATCATCTTTGATTCAATTTTACTTTCTAACTTAAGTATTAATCATTTGAGAATTTCATCATGCATTTTTCCAAAGAAGGGAAGTAGCAATAAATACATACTCAGTCCAGTTATGGCACCAGCCATTCTTAACATTAGAATAGGTTCCTATCTCACAGGGTTTGCACTTGAACGTGAAGTCTAAAGAGCCTACAAGAAAAAAGAATGTGAATTATTAGCGGAGAGTGATTTACTGAAAGATGGGGATATAACAGAATACAGCACAATGTGTTCCCTCCATGCTCTTTCATCATTAGGAACCATCCCCCTGGAGAAACACAGAAGTGGTCACAGCCACCTCTGCATTTTGGGGAACGTATGGGCAGACCCCTTCGAGAAGAAGTAGAGAATAGTCTGATCTGACAGCAGAGGGTGTGAAGTTAAGAGGCAACACAGAGTAAAACACTCTTCTACTGACATTTCTAGCAGCTTGGAAGAAAAGTAATACTGAAAGCCTGAGAATGAAAGTGAAAGTCTCAAAGAAGGGAAGACTTACAATATAGGGAAACAAGGGGTTTAGTCACCGAGGCCACAGGATAAATGACATTTCTGTCTGCGTCACGAGCCCTCCCCAAAGCAGGTTGTAATAAGTGAAGGAAATAAGACTTATGGTTTGCTGCTCCACTGCCCACTTGTATCGAACTCTGCCCTTTGAAGTAATTTCTAAGTAATTTCTTTACTTACCAAACTTAACCAGCTCCTCCCCTTCTGCACACTCGGGCAGCTTTTTGCAGTAAAGACACACGCTATCGACGCAGCTGTACCCCTGCCGACACTTGCAGTCATGGTCCTCAACGTTTTGACACGTGCTGTTGTCTCCTGTCAAGAAGAAAAAAAAATTAGATTTGACTTTGTCGTAGAGGCCAGAAATCAACTTAAGCATTAATCTTACTGGCTGACACAGGTGAAATAGTTCCTTGCTGTGCTGTGGTGGAAAAAACGGCTATCACAAAGATGTCATTTCCACCCATACAGATAAAGTTCTAGAGTACTCAAATTTAGCACCACTCAGATTTTTCCAAGATGGTTATCTGAGCCCTGCATTACTTACCACTGTGACCCCTCTCTCTTATCTGTGTAGGTTGTGGTAGACAGAAGTCATGCAGCAGATTTGCTTAACTACTTTGTGCAGGTTTAGACACTGTGGGGTGAGGAGGGCACTGCCAGTGCCCCAAAGAAGCACTACACATTAATTAGCCACCTGGCAGCTCTCTGGACACTGCCAGGACTCTTCTGAGTTTGGCACAGCCATGTTAGAGGAGAGGTGCCCAAAAGATCCTTGGCCAGTGAAGCTAAAGCTCCTTTTCCACACCTTTCCCAACAACAGCAGCTGCTTCCTACATTCTGTTGGCAGAAGTTCATCTAAATCCAAGCCATAAAATCAGCACCCTCCCTACCCTCTGTCCTGTTTCTAGAGGAGTTCTGTTATGAACTTTGCTTGCACTCAAAAAATGTCATCTCTAATTCAGAGAGGCTCCTGAGTTCTTGAAAGCAAGGGGCTTATCACATATATTGATCCCATCAGCAAACAGGATCAAGCAGTCCTTCTGGCAGCTGGAGACCAGCAGGAGGAAAAGTGCTGTTCAACCAGGAAGCTGTACAACCTTAAAGGAAAAAAAAAAAAAATATAGAGGGAAATGCTGGCTAGTTCAATAGCATGCCTAAAACCCCACCGTGAGTAGCAAAGATCAAGCAAAGATTATTTCCTGAGGTTGGTGATGGAATGTACTGCCCACATCTTCCTCTGCCCACTGGCCTCCAAAACTCAAAAGTCCAGCAGCAAAAAGGAAATGCCTCAGGGGTGCTTCTTTCTGTGTATGACTAATGGGTGATTCTGGAGGTGATCCCACTGAGAAGTGACTCTCCTACCTCATACTGGATGCCTTCATCTCAGTGGGAAGGGCTATACCCTGGGGTCTCCACACTCCTGAGGACTCTATTGCTCTTCCCCTATTTATCATTCTTTCCCACAAATCCCATGTGTCCACTCACTCCTTCCATGGGGAACTCACTGTCCCTGCTGTTGGTTAAGGCAGATTTATTCAAGCTACTAATAGGTGGAGGCTGACTCCTACCAAGCCACCAATGAAAGATGTGACTTCTCAGCTAGTCCTGTGGCTGACCAGCAGGACAACAGCACTACTGCACTGGGTAGCCAAGGCTCCCAGCAACCTTGTTTTGGGACAAAGAGAAAAGGAAGGTGCATTCCTTGCTTTAGACCATATAAACAGCTCCATGTTCCCTGCAAGCCATAAAATCAGCACCCTCCCTACCCTCTGTCCTGTTTCTAGAGGAGTTCTGTTATGAACTTTGCTTGCACTCAAAAAATGTCATCTCTAATTCAGAGAGGCTCCTGAGTTCTTGAAAGCAAGGGGCTTATCACATATATTGATCCCATCAGCAAACAGGATCAAGCAGTCCTTCTGGCAGCTGGAGACCAGCAGGAGGAAAAGTGCTGTTCAACCAGGAAGCTGTACAACCTTAAAGGAAAAAAAAAAAAAATATAGAGGGAAATGCTGGCTAGTTCAATAGCATGCCTAAAACCCCACCGTGAGTAGCAAAGATCAAGCAAAGATTATTTCCTGAGGTTGGTGATGGAATGTACTGCCCACATCTTCCTCTGCCCACTGGCCTCCAAAACTCAAAAGTCCAGCAGCAAAAAGGAAATGCCTCAGGGGTGCTTCTTTCTGTGTATGACTAATGGGTGATTCTGGAGGTGATCCCACTGAGAAGTGACTCTCCTACCTCATACTGGATGCCTTCATCTCAGTGGGAAGGGCTATACCCTGGGGTCTCCACACTCCTGAGGACTCTATTGCTCTTCCCCTATTTATCATTCTTTCCCACAAATCCCATGTGTCCACTCACTCCTTCCATGGGGAACTCACTGTCCCTGCTGTTGGTTAAGGCAGATTTATTCAAGCTACTAATAGGTGGAGGCTGACTCCTACCAAGTCACCAATGAAAGATGTAACTTCTCAGCTAGTCCTGTGGCTGACCAGCAGGACAACAGCACTACTGCACTGGGTAGCCAAGGCTCCCAGCAACCCTGTTTTGGGACAAAGGGAAAAGGAAGGTGCATTCCTTGCTGTAGGCCATATAAACAGCTCCATGTTCCCTACTGTTCAGCTCTGGCTACTGTTATGGACAGCACTAAATTAGGAAGAATGGTATGATCATTCCTGGGACCATGGAAGAGGACATCAGAATCACTTGTCCTGTCCTTCAGCCTAACAGGCACTGAAACAGCACCCTGGAAGTCCTGCAGCTCATCTGTTCCACCTCCAGTGCCTTAATTTGACTCAAAGTTACAAGCAAGTGAGAATCCATTACCATCTCAGCAGCACCCTCAGATCAGGCAAGGGTGCAGGTTACAACAGGCTGTTGAAACCAATGATCACCTGAGACCTTGTCTGGGAATCTACTCCTGGGACAAGCACAGGTCAGTGGAACGAAGGATTGAAGTGGGATGTTTCAGGCTCTTTAGGACCACAAAAGGACAGCCTTAGAGAGAGCATCACTCCCTGTTTTCTCTCTGAAGTCTGAAAGGCACAGACAAACTTCAAAACCATGTTAGAATGGAGCAAGGGCTCAAAATCAGTGTTAAGTGAACACCTTCTTTCCTTGTGAGCAAGACCAGCTTGCAGAGACTCAGCTTTCCCTTTTCCAGCAGAGAATAACAAGTATAAGCACATAACAAACCTGAAACACGAGTCCACTCTGAAGTTTACAGCTAAGGCACATTATGAATTTCGGGGGCAGGAGAGAAACCCTTGCTATTTTGTTTTGCATATACAGTAACTCAGGATACATTTACATACACACCCGCCCGCTCCCCACACTTGATTACCCTGCTTGACAGAAAACAATACTGACAAAGGGAAAGGTGACAGACACATCATCCCTTTACCTGCTCTCAAGATGCATTTGGGGCAGCATTTCTTCACGTCTTTGGTGATGGTTCTCAGTTCACCATCCGGGCACGGTGTGGCCAGGGTTTGCCGTGTCCATTGCCACAGACAGGCCACCAGCAGCAGGCAAGCTCGAATCTTGAGGTGAGCAACTTCACTGGCCAGTGCAGTCATGTCTGGAGCTGGACAAACCCAAAAAGCACAGGAGGGTGGGCTCGTATCAGGGCTTTCCTGCCAAAGCTCTCTTTGCCCTGCCACTGCGGGAAGTGCTTTTTGTGGCCTCACTCTTCCTGTCCCATTAGGGGCGGGGAAAAGATTTTATTTGACATCATCAAATTCTTAAAAAAGAAGCAAGCACGCACCACTGACACCATCAAGGGTGCAGCAGGGCAGGAGCAAGACGTAGCATCACGCAATGTGATTTTCAAAGAATTTTGCAGGTTGATATACGATTGAAAATTAATGCATATTAAATTAGCGCGTGAACTTCAGCACTCTCAGGCTATTTCATTCTGACTTAAGAGTTCCTAATGAATTTAGAAACCTTCAAGGATTTAACTATCAGATTGCAATGTATAATAAGTCCATCTATCCACTCAGATTTTCTGATTCTGTTAATTGTTTTCAGCTTCTTTCACTCTGGATCAGAAGAACTTTTGAATTATTTTCCAGAGCTGATGTAACTCCATATGGATAACCATGAAACCAAGAGAAAGAACCAAAATCAGCCCTGGTACCAAAACTGAAAAAGGCTGCAATGGGCTCTTTAGGGGCACGTACAGCTCCTCTGAGGGAGCCCCAGACCACAGGGATTTAGGTAACAAAAGAGTCAGTAAAATTGTAAATAGGCACAGACATGTTGCCTATAATCATCACCTGCTGCTGGGTTTCAGTTCCAGTATGTCTTCCCTTATACAAATGCATACGTAAACTTCCACCCCTGCTTTACGTGTAGACAGCTTCCTTGCTCCCCCCTTTCTCCCCCCAATTCTATTTCCTCTGCACCCCAGGGTTTGCTTCTATCCCTCTCACTTGTGGTTGCTTTTATGTGTGCACAGCGAGGGTAGTATTTAAAGTCCAACCTCATTCTCAACTGAACAGACGAATTCTGATGCAGAAGCAGTTTCTAACGGACTCTTTTCCACACTGCATGTAATGACAAACACGTCAAGGCAAGGGAGAGTCAGACCTGGGAAGAGAGATGAGCACCCCTAGAAAATGTCATGTCTACAGCATTTGACACTTGCCCCGTTAATTCCTTAGTTTAATATATTCCTTAGTTTAACATACAGCCAATGAAGTCTGAATTAACAACCCACACAGACACCAACACTCTTCCTTCAGTGTGTTCTACACTTTCTTCCTGAAGATTCATCTCTGGGTCTCAAAGAGCAGGTTGGTCAACACACCCTTCACTTAGTTTTTTTGTTCTATTCAGGGATCTATCTGTGTTCCCATCATGGTTTGGAAACAATCAGATGTCTGCACCCCAGGGTTTGCTTCTATCCCTCTCACTTGTGGTTGCTTTTATGTGTGCGCAGCGAGGGTAGTATTTAGAGTCCAACCTCATTCTCAACTGAACAGACGAATTCTGATGCAGAAGCAGTTTCTAACGGACTCTTTTCCACACTGCATGTAATGACAAACACGTCAAGGCAAGGGAGAGTCAGACCTGGGAAGAGAGATGAGCACCCCTAGAAAATGTCATGTCTACAGCATTTGACACTTGCCCCGTTAATTCCTTAGTTTAATATATTCCTTAGTTTAACATACAGCCAATGAAGTCTGAATTAACAACCCACACAGACACCAACACTCTTCCTTCAGTGTGTTCTACACTTTCTTCCTGAAGATTCATCTCTGGGTCTCAAAGAGCAGGTTGGTCAACACACCCTTCGCTTCGTTTTTGTTCTATTCAGGGATCTATCTGTGCTCCCATCATGGGTTGGAAACAATCAGATAGGTCTGGTATGCAACAGACCCTTCTAGTTTTGAAGATGTATGCTGCAAAGCTGCTTGTCTTCTTAAATGTGCCAGGTGAAACCCTTCCATGAAAAGATTACATCCAACAGAGCTGCAAGCAGGCACTAGACGCAGGTCTCTGCCGTCACTTTTTCCCACATAATGCCCCTAGAAGGTCAAGTGTTATGTTTCAGAAACTAAAAGTCTCCCACTTTGTACTTCTTTCACACAGGAGATCCCCTCCTCTTCCCACACAGCACAGCTCCTCACACTCATCACATCCCGTACCGCTCACGCCACGCTGGAAACACAGACACTGCTGCTGCCCAGCCAGCCTCGGAGAGGACACCACAGCTCTTGGGTTTGGTCCCCAACACCAGGATTCCTTTCACCAGCTCCTCCAAACAGCATCACCACGTTGCTTGGGCCACACAGGGAGGGTTTACAGGTGTGGGCCCTGCACAGAGAACAGGGTGAATACAGAACTTTGTCTCCCCCTCTCCAGAACTCTGCACAGCCTTATGATGATGACAAGTTATTAGGTAAAGCACTTGGATGCTGCAGCAACACACTCTGCAGACCAATCTTTCATGACCACTTCTGAATTGCACATATGCCCTAACCAGCGTTCAGGATATTTTTATTATCCCTGGCTCTTAGAAGAATAGCCCAATGATAAGGAGAACTTCTTTCAAAATCCCTACATTAAGATCCACCTCAGGGCATGTAGGCTGCAATACCATTTGAAAATGGTATTGAAATTGAAATTCCTCCTCACATAATAGGGCAAGGAATATCTGGAGCACACTAAGTCCCTCCACTTCATCATGGCTGCAGCCCACATCTACGTGGTAACACATGCTGCTTCTGCTCCTGTAAACAGCATGCAAGCCAAAGCCTCCCTTCCACTTTCTACCATCCTTCACCCCTGACCCAGCACAGGCTGGTGGAGTGGGGAAATGTGGCACCAACAGTTTTTAGAAGCTCCTCAACTTGCACATGAAGTGTTTGTGGACAGGAGGGGATACACCTTCCCATTCGTCCCACCACTCCTCCTGGCTCTGCAAGTCTTTCAGAGTCTGTGAAGGAGGTGTTGAGTCTCAACTGCATGAAGAAAGCAAGAACAAAAGACCCATGAAGAAAAGACAAATTACTTGAAATCAAGATTTCGTCCTTTTCTGTCTTTGAGGTCAGGTGCTTCCAGATAGTGTGCAGGCTCCCTGCAAACATCAAAGGGCTGCAAACCCTCATACAGTAGCTGGCCACACTCACAGAAATTGTGGGATGTCACCAATGGTCTTAGGAGTAACCCTGACAAATCATTCATAGATGAGGTGTGCAGAGAAAAACTTAACTCAGGAATAGGAAGGGATGGGATCAGCTCTGTGCGTTGCTGAGAGACAGACCCAGGGGTGCACCTCAGGATCCCCAGAAACTCCCCAAGGCTTTGCTGTGTGCACCTCTACCCTGGGTGGTGTCCCACTGTCAATGCTGATGCAGCTTCCCTGTTGGGACCCTTCCAGTTGTTTTGATGCTGAAGCTGGGGTCCTGTGGAGCCAAGTCATTGAGCCTCACTTTCTGGAAGCTACACTTCAAGGCCATGTCCCAGAACAGCAACCACACCAGCCACTGATAACTCATGCTGCTGAATCACCAATAGGAAGAACTGTTACTTCCAGTAACAGCTGGGATGGGTAATTTTATAACTAACAGAAAGAATTGAGTGGTAAATGACCAGGTCTCTAGTTGGGCACTAGCTGGAAGGGGTAATTTTATAACTAACAGAAAGAATTGAGTGTTGGGCACCACACTTAGTCTCCTGATGCTTTACTTTCTTCATCTTTAGAAGTATCACAGTAACAACAGTCTAGACCATGTTTATCGGAAGGGACAAGCTTCCCGATGGAGGAGCTGCCATGTCCCTGCACCTCAGAGATGGACATGAATAACTAGAACTGCTGAAGTACCAGATACAAAAGTTAATCAGACATTTGCTCCGTGTCATAAACACAGCAACAGAGAAGGGACCTCCAAAGGTCCTACCAAGACAACTGGCGGTTGGTACACAAGGGACCCCCAAGGCTGGTTGCGGGCAGGCAGTCAGCAGATGTGATCTTCTGATAAACACCTGGTGTTTATTACATCAATCTAGCTTTTCTCAATGTCGGTGTTTTTTCTGAATTGGTCTCTACATATTTTCATTCTCATTCAAGCATTACACTTGTGCACATACGGCCAGATGACGGAAAATGTACAGTCAGATCACAGACAATAGTTGCACATGCCAGGGCTAAATCTGTAGAGTCAGCAGTGACCTTTCAGAGACAACTTGACTTTCTGGCTGCAAAATCTTTAGGGGCTTTTTCTAGAGCTAACGTTACCTGTCTCTGACGCAAGGTAGTGACATTTTGTCCGTCAATCTCCTTCTTGCTCAGTCCTGCTTGTGATGTATGTTAATGGCACTGCCATTTCCAGCTCTCTCTGCACCTACTGAAAGAATAAATGCTTATTTCACTCATCGATAAGCATCAGTTCTCACCTCCTCATCACCTGTTCGGTGGCTTTACTCAGCAGCAGCTACAGGGTTAACTACACAATATCTGACTAAGACTTTTCAGAAATGAGGAATCCTCAGTCTCTACCTTCACACACACACACACACACACACAGGGGTTCCTTCACCTGCAGAGTTTCTTTCTGCCCACGTCACCTGTGAAGAAATGTGGTCTTTGGGGTTGTCTAAGCACATGTAGCACGCAGTGCCTTCTCCTTCGCACAAACCAGCAAGACATAGCACTGACCTGAAGAGACAAAGAGAAGAAGTGAGGGGCCAAGATGCTTAAAAATATCTCGGGGTTCAGAGCTCCCAGTTGCCACTGAAAAGGAGCATCCAAACACTGACGCTGCTGTCCCTTTGAAGAGAGACTCTCCAAAGGCTTGTGTGCTGGAGTTTGAACCGAAAGGTCTCTTGCATGCCAGGCTCTAGTTCCTCAGTTGTGGATGAAGAGGTCTTTATGATTTATGACTTTCTCCAAGAAACGAACCTCAGTTCTGAGTGTGAGGCCTCACTGCATCACGAAATGTGGGGAAGATGGGTTTCTTCTCTTTCCTTCAGCAACGGAAGGGAGGTACAGAAACAAATGGGGCAAAAGACCCCAAATGCAGTGGCTCAGGGCAGATTAAGGCTGAAACATAAGCACACACAGTGATGGAACAGAAGAAAAAACGTTACAGGTTTCCTAATCTCTTCTCCTTCCTCTGTGCTACCATGACCTGCACACATCACATTAGGAGTGCTCAAGGATGAGGTCTGAAGCAAGAACCAGTGGATTCTTTCACCCACTGACATGCACCAATGGGACAACTTGTACCTCTGTCTTCAGGCAGGGCCCATGTTCCTAAGAGTACTCACAGAGCTGGCTGTGAATTCTGCTTTTGCCCACCTTAAGGACATCCAGCCACAAGCCGAACATTACGCACATCTCCCAGGAGCCTCATTCTACAGCTTCTTTTTCACTTGGTGCCACTGGAGCCAACAGATCACTGCACTGTCCAAATTACTAACCTTCTGGAAAGAACAAAAAAGAAACGAAGAAAAAAAAAAAAAGAAAGAGCCTAACCACTTCTCAATGTAATTAAGTTCTTGCAAGTGCACTAGCTTTACTGACGCTCTTTGGACCTAACGTCATCAATGAAATAGTACTGTTACCAGGGGGAGTTATTTGGTTTCCTGACACTGAGATTTTTCTGATTACCCATAATAGGTGACCAAAGAAGCCATGCAGTTGTCCTACAAGGAAGAGGTTGTTTACATGAAAGCTACGTCATTTCTGAGTAATTAATAGTATTTGTAAGAGACTGATATACAAATTGCTTTGTAAGCTCCATCTTGTAAGCTGTTTTCAACCCCCTGTAAGAAAACTCCATTGACAGCTACAGGAGTCACATTCTGTGGTACAAGTGTCAGCCTGTCTTTAAGTAAAGAGCCCTTCACTATGTCGTGACAGCTACAGGAGGGACACACAGGGAACCAGTGGTAGAACAGCAGCTCAGATGGGCAGCAGAAAGCGTGAAGGAACAACCAGTGCATGGGGTGCAGGCCAGTACTGCAGCGAGGACACGGTTAGGCCAAGGGGACACAGGGACATCAGCTGCCTAGAAGGACATCATGTATCAGTGGTGACAGCTCACGTAGCACTGTCCCAAAGCCTGGGGTAAAAAGAAGCTTGAGGACAAATCATAGAATCATTGAATCATTGAGGTTGGAAGGGACCCTTGGGATCATCGAGTCCAACCATCTCCCCTACTCTACAAAGTCCTCCCCTACACCATGTCCCTCAGCACTGCATCTGAACAGCCCTTAAACACATCCAGGGATGGGGACTCCACCCCCTCCCTGGGCAGCCTGTTCCAATGCCTGACCACTCTTTCAGTGAAAAAATCCTTCTTAATGTTCAATCTAAACCTACCCTGTTGGAGCTTGAAGCCATTCCCTCTCGTTCTATCACTAATTCCCTGTGAGAAGAGACCAGAAACGACCTCTC